TCTATTATTTCTTGGTGGAGGGAAGCCACCTTTCTCTCTCCTCTCATCTGCACGTTGCAGCAGGTCATATGGGCTTCTCCACTCACGCAGAAAGGTCCTGTCTGTTTCTCCACTAGCTTGCGAGCTTCCTGAGGTCAGGACCATGCCTTATTTGACTTTGAACTCCTGGACTATGTGTGGAGCTTTACAGATAGGCAAACTATGCCCAGTTTTACACGGGAAGAGCTTACGGGCTAGTGGAAAACAGACAGATGAGCACTATGTTCTCCAAACTGAATGGCAGGAAGAAGGAAGGGAAAGAGGAATCAGGACAACGTGCCTCCTCCAAACTCAATATCAACCTTTGAAAAAAAGTAAGGAAAAGAAACAAGAAAAAATGAAGTACTTAATTAATCCTGATACCCTAAAGCACCGAAAACAAACAAACAAACATACACAATTAAACCAATGCCCTGGAAAACAGCCTGGCAGTTTCTTAAAAGTTAAACATAAACATACCATGTGACCCAGCAATTTCACTTCTAGGAATCTACCTCAGAGAAATGAAAACATCTGTCCACACAAAGACAAGTACACGGATGTCCATAGCAGCATTATTCATAATGGCCAAAAACTGGAAACAACCCAAACATCCATCAACTGACAAACGGTTAAGCAAATGCGGTGTAATCCACACAGTGAAATAGCGTTCAGCAGTGGCAAGAACTGCCGATGAATGTCGCGATGAGGTCACGCGTGAGCCTCGCCTGTGCGAGTGAGAGCAGCCGGACTCGAAAGAGTACATGTTATACGAGTCCATTTATAGGAAATGTCCAGAAACGGCAAATTTATGGAGACAGAAAGCAGATCCGTGCTTGCCTAGGGCTGGGGATGGGAACAGGGATTAACTGTAAATGGACACAAGGGAACTTTGTAGAGCGACAAAAATGTTCCATAACAGGATTATGGTGATGGTTGCACAACCCCATAAATTTACTAAGATCACTGAGTTACACTTTCAGTTGTGCACTTTCAATTTTACGGTACGCAAATTATGTCTCAATAAAGCTGTTACAAACAACAAAACAAAACAAAAACCTGGTGCCAAACCATCCTCTATCTGTGGCTGGGAAGTGATGTCTGAGGTGAGATGAGGGTCATATCCCCTAGCAAATTGCAGGTGCTGTTGTTATAAAATAGCTCATGTGACTTTTCCTGCATTCATTTTGCCATCTCATCTAGTTCTAAAATCTTATGGCAGCAGCTAGCTTTTACTGGGCACTACAATCCTAAGAGGATAGTACGAATATTACCCCATTTTCCACATGAGAAATCAGGATCAGAAAGGGAAAGTAACTCACTTGAGGGTCCACAGCTGCTTAGTGGCAGAGCTGGGACCGGAACCCGATCCTGCCTGATTCTAGAACCTGTGCTCTTCGCCACCATTATTTTCTCCTATCCCCCACCTGTCCACTGCCCCACTGGCTCTTTGGCCTCCAGGAGGAAAGCATGGTGCTGCCTGGGCAAGCAGGGAGAGGATGCTGAGCTTCCGTATTTTGCTGCAGCAAACACGACCTTGTGTTTAGGTCGCCAGCACCAATGTGCCCAGAAGCCCCCTAACCACTAAGTAGAAAGGCCCTGATTTATATAAGTAGCACATTTTGGTCAGGCAGCACTGAACCAGCAGTAGCATCAGTTTCCGTCTGCAGTGTCCTGGGGTTTAGCAAAGACGAGCCAACAGCCAGGGACAGAGATGCCTTCTACAGGCTATGGGCTGCCCAGATGAATTTCTTGCTGGAGCATTTCATCAGGAACTACACAGTTCCAGGGAGCATTCCATGCAGGGGCCTTGTGAGGCCACTCTGCCTGCCCAGTGCACTGGGTACACCCCTGCCTGGCAGGGAGCTGGCAGCAGCCACCTGACCTTTGGCCCATGGCAGACAGAGCTCCTTGTTCCCCTCTCCCTCAATGTAGCATTACGATCTCTGCTTCTTCCAGGCCAAGGCATGAAGAGGCTGTGCAGGAGTTTGAGCGAAGTTTTCCAAAGGCTGCCTGGCAAACCCAAGGAGGCCTCAGAATGCCCTCATCAAAGGAGGGAGGGACCCCACATGCCCAGAAGCCTTTTCTGTGATAAGCACGGCCTTGCGCACAGTGAGGCAGAGCATCCCCTCTCCCCCGTGCCGCCCACCCCAGGCACCCTGACCTCCTGCTGCTCCTCTAACAAATGGGCCAGGCACACGACTGCCTCTTGGCTTTTGCAAGTACTATTCTAGCTGCTGAGAACTGTTCCCTGGACACCAGTCTTGCTCCTTCCTTCACCTTCCTCAGGTCTTTGTTCAAATGTCACTCTCTTGGGGAGGCCTCCCCTAACCACCCTATTTAAAATTGCAACCCCCACCCCAGCACTCCCTTCCCTGGCCGGTTTTATTTTTTCCATAGCATTTATTACCATAAGAAATACCACTTTACTTTATTTGTCCATCCCTCCCCCGCCAGGATGTAAGCTCTTCCAGGCAAGAGGGTTTTGCCTACAGCAGAGCCTGGCATGTGGCATGTGGCAATCAATCACTTCATGAGGGAATGAACTTCCCCATCAGAGCCCGGCCTATGGACAGCATCTCTGCAGCTACTGCCCAATGCCAAAGACACCAGGAGACCAGCTGGGACTACCCAAGCCTGCTCAGAGGTGACATGAGCCAATCTAGGAGAAACTGACAAAGAACCAGTCAACAAGCCACGTGCAGGTGGCAGCACCAAGACTCACTTCATGCCTGCCCTACACCTCTGCAGAAAACCACCTTGCTGATGCCTGCGGATGCTTGTTGATTCTGCCAGGCCCTCTTGGGCCTTCTTCCTGGGAGGCTCTCTGAAGCCTGGGGTGTATGACACCACTGGGGTTGTAACGTAAAGAAGGTATATTAGAAGTCAGATAAAAACTGGGAGGGTGTAGATACTGGAACAACGTCTCATTCCCCAGGCATTCTGAGGATGTGACTTCAAATCTAGCTAAAGGAAGAAGCCCAGAGAGGGTACGGCCAGTGAACAGGACAGATGAAAGGAGACTTGGTCACACATGGCCTGAACCTGAGTTGTTTGAGCTTAATTCGCTCAACTTAAAGCTGTTCCTTACTCAGGTCACTGGCTTCATCGCCTCTCCCTGGGGCCAGGACTTTTGTGCTCAGCCATGCTGACAGGCTTCACAGTGCCGGCCTGACAGAAGCCCTCTGCTCTGTGGTCACTCTGAAGACAAAAATGGAGCTTTAGGGATGGTGGCAGTGAACTTCTTTTTCCCAGTGAACTTCTAATTCTGCCTGCTATAAACGAGATTGTCTTCCCCAGCTGGAGGCAGCAGAGAGCGAACAAAAACACAGGTGTTAAAAGCACCGTGGAGTAAGACAACTTGGTTTGGAATTTCAGCTCTGCCACTCAGAGGCTGGATGATCTTGGGCAATCTCTTAACCTGAGCCTCAGTTTCCTTATCTGTAAAATGGGATAACCACAGCATCTGCTTCCCTGGGAAGCTATGAGGATTAAGCTCGCTGATTGCTATGTGCTGAGCCCACTACCTGGCATGTAGTGAGAGCTCAGCAAATCTTATTGCTGCTGTTGTTACAAAATAAAGGGAGGAAAGAAGTCAGCCCCCAGCCACATGCTCAGGCAGCCCGAAGACCTCCAAGGTTATCAGAGTCCTAAGGCAGTTGAATTTGCCGGTAATTAAGGGACTAGAAATACAGCCCTTTTCCTTTGGGTTTCAGAATGATGTAGACTCAAGCAAAACCAGCCTGGACGGAAACTTTTCAGTGGCCATGGGAATTATTCCAAAGAGGGGCTGTCTGGGCTAAAAGTGTGACTCTGGAAAAGGAGGAAACAGGACCCTAAAGCCACTAAATCCCTGAGTTTATAATTAACAGACAAGCATTTGCTCTGCCTGTTCTGGAGCCATGTGGCTCACCAGGGAAGGGCATGGTAGTCATACAAAAATAACCCCCCAGTGGGTTTTTGATGTGTTGAGCCTCTTTGTTTTTCTGAATTTTAATGAAGGGCTTTCTAGGCAGGATAAGAGAAGCACTCCATGCTCCCTGTGGCCGAGGAGTGGCCCTGGCTGCTGCCAGCCCGCAGGGGCCTGACGCAAAGCAGCAGCAAGGAGAGGCGGGCAGGGAAAGGTCTCGGCCCTCAGATGAGATGTCTTGGGGAGAAAGAGAGAAAAACAAAAACAAAAGATGTCTCTGTTTAGGAAAAGGTTTGGTCTCTGCTCCCGAACTCAGCGCATCTTGGAAAGAGGCGCTTGTTGATGCATGGGGGAGTATCTGAACGGATAAGGAGGGGGAGGCCCAGGCTTCCCAAGAGTGTTTCTGTGGAATTCTCAAGGATGCTAGGCTGGCCCAGTCCCATGAGAACCAGAAACAAGGCTCTGGGAACCTTTTTGGTGGCAGCTTTTGGAGCCCCAGGCACGGGTTGCAGGGAGAGGGGAGAATGGAGAGTGCTGTCCCAATCGCCACCAAAGCCCGACGCGACGTGAAGGAAGAATGGATCACCTTAGTCCCATCTTCCTCCCTCAGCTACAGCCGCCAGGAAGCAGGCGATGAAGATGGCAGTGCAGCTTCACTTCCGTAACTGAAGAGCACCGACTGCCACAGTAAGAAAGGCATCATGCCAGGCCCTGCCCCAGAACCCCAGCGGGCAGCTGCTGGCAACCTCCTGAGAAGGAATGAGTTCCTGTAGGAGCACCCATCCCTTCTCCTCCTGAATCTCACTTTCCCTCATGCTCTTCAACAACACAGAACATTCAGAGTTCTCATCAGATTGTTTAACAGTTGCCCTCCTTCACTTGTGTTGAATCTTTCCAAAATGGGGCTGGAAAGAAATGGAAGAGATGGCCACAGAATAAAGCAATTCATTTCCATCAAATGATCCAATGTGGTTTACTGAAAATAAACATTTTTTATTACAAAATACTCCATGTAAAAATCCTAAGCTGCCTGCAAGCATCTGTAGTTTTAGGCTGATTGTGGAGTGGAGGTTATGGGTTCAGGAGTGCCGGGGCTGCCCCGCAGGGTCCTCCCTCTCCGTCTGTAGCAGGTCCCACTCGGCAAGGAGCTCCGAGGACACCTCAGTGTACAGATGGTCCCAGTCCCAGCTGATGTCATCCTGTCAAGAGGGGCATCACTGGGTAAGACAAAAAAAAAAAAAAAAAAGCCTTTCCCCTTGATGGTGGCTAACTTCTCCCACCTATCGGGGCCTCGGCGGGCACAGGCCAGCCTGAGGAGCCAGCCAGTTAAAGGAATGACAAGCTGCTACTGTACCTCTCGAACTTCATGCTCTGGTGCAAGGACTTTAGTGAGGAGCTTTAGGTCGATCTCGCCATCCTGTGAATGCAAGAAAAGCCAGGATGGGTACCTCGCAACAGCTACCTATCTCTTGCAACTATCTCTTGCAAAGTATGGAGGATCAGTTTGTATGTGTTAGAATTTCCCAAACTGAGATCCACAGAAATGCCTTAATAAGAAAGTAAAAACATGAGTGGATCACACGGCCACTGAGAGTCAACGGAAAACAACGGTTCCCTCCATCCTGGGCGTGCTTTGGGGAAAAGGGCCGCCCCTGACAGCAGCATATCCACAGGGACTGAGGGCAGCCGCGGAAGCAGGCGGAAGCCTGCAATGGGAAACCCTGCAATATGCTGGGTCCAGAGATGCTGTGAGATGCCTGAGGATAGTCCCTCCAGCAAAGTGTGTTGCCAAGCAGCCTCGGGGACCCATGGAGGAGGAGCTGTACAGCTCTGAAGGAGCTGAGAAACCTCTCTGCGGATGCTGCCTGGAGCCTGCCCCTCTGTGCAGAAGCTATTCCACTCACCAGGGTCTGGAAGGCCGAGTACTTCATGAGGTCATTGTCCAGGTCACGGTAGGTCATCACCCGGTTCACCTGGACACTGCAGGAAGGGAGACTGTGAGTGGGACCCACAGGCAGGCCCAGTGCCAGGAGTGCTGCTGGGCTACCGTCCTCAGAGCCTCACGTGCAGCTGGGGATGACCAGAATGGGAACAAAACGTCCTAACAAAATGGGATCCCTGGGATGGAGCCCATCACCAGAAAGATCTGGATCTACATTGGGCAACAGCAAAGGTCCACTGTAGATGATATTTGGAGTGTATCAATTTGTACGTTCTCTGCCTCCCTGCCAACTTCATACCTAATTTAACCTACCTGGGAGGGGCTGCCACTTGCAAAACAAAGTCTTCTTCCTGTACTTCTTCCAGATCCGGAATAATAGGAATGTCTGCAATGAGAAGTGGAGGCAAAACTGTCTGCAGCACAGATGGGGTCTCGCTGCTTCTCCATTTCTTGCTTACTCACCTTCCACACGCCAGCCATGGGGCTGTGGCCAGGCAGAATGCACACTCAGACATAGTGTCTGGCCTCCAGTCTAGGGCTCCCAGGCTAGGGCCACGGTGGCAAAATGAGGGTGCAGTTTTGACAATTTATGAATCCCAGGTCTCACCCCAGAACCTGCTGAGGTAGAACCTTCTGGGTAGGGCTCAAGCATCCATGTTTTTTCCCCAAGATTTCTTTGGTGATTCTGACGCATGTGCCAGGCTAGGAGTCATCGGACTGGATCTCCAAGGAGAAATGTAAAGAAATGAGAAGAGACTCGCAGACAGCACCTGAGGAAGGGCTTACGTGAGAGGAGAGGAAGGAAGGGCAGTGATGAGTGGTCCTGCAATGGGCAGAGATGTAGTGTCACAAAGTGGATGTGACTGTGGTGCCACCTCCTCGTGACCTAGATCTCTGCGCGCGTCACCTCCAGAGTGCAAGTGTCACAGCCCTTGGCCTCCTTCTGAAGGGCGTTTCCCACTGATGATACAACCTGGCCCCCACCTCTGTATCAGGGATCAGGGTCTCCATTTGCCGGGTCTAACATCATAAATGAAGCGGATTCTAACACACTTTCCTAACTATCTTGTGGAGATTTTCCTTCTCTGAAGAAGGAAAACTCCCAGAAAGGAGAGACTAGCGAAGAAACCTTTCCTTTCTGCTGCCATGGACTGAATTCAATTTTATTTTTAAAAGAGGCACAAAATCATTCCAAGAACAGCTGAGAAAAACCCTTGCCACTTTCAGGCTATGCATTGTTTAGACTTTGTGATTGCTCCAGTCAAGCTAAGCCAGAGAATGTAAACGTCAGCTCCAAGCCTGGTGTCTTTATTATTACTTCCAACTGTGTGGGAACAGATGTTGTACCTGGAAAAAGAGAGCGTGCAAGGGAGAGACAGAGACAGAAAATTAAACAGACAGGCAGTGAAAGAAAGTGATAAAAAGAGTGAAAATGAATAAAAAGAAATTGCTGATAGGGAAAATAAAGAAGAGACACATACACCACCCCCAAAATAATGAACCACATTCAGCAAGTCCTATATCTGGAAAGAGCTGTTCAAAGCTTAGATTATATCTCTCTGTCCTGTTAGAGAATTGGAGATGGAATTCTCTAAGATTCTATTTCTTATGCTAATAGAAATTTAGCTTCTTTTCCCCTCTCGCTCTGAGTGATTAATACAGCCCATTGTGCGGGCTGCTGACAGTGCCATTCCCCAGGCTGGTGAGACCGCAAGGCCCTGCAGAGGGACAGCGAGGAAGCTGGCTATGCCATGCGCCATCCATCGGCAGTGTGACAGTTTTGGAGTGAGCCAGTTAGCCGCTCCTGGCTCTCCTCGAGTGCGGAGTCCAGCCTGAGATGAATATTCAGAAGTTGGTAAGAAAATGCCCCATGCTGAGTTTAGGGCTCAGGACAGGGTCCTCCCAAATTCCCCCTTCCCTCCACAACTTTAGCAGTTGGGTCCTGTCAACTCTGCCCAGCTTCTCGGAGCTCTGAGGAATTACACTTCTGCCCGACGTCCACTCTCACTCCCCACGGGCTTCCCTCTTCGTCCCTACCCCCCTCCTCCAAATGTGCACAAAGAGTGTGGGGCTGGCCCATCTGTGATAGATCAGAGGTCAGCTCGGGCCTTGGCAAAGGGGCCGCTCAGAGTGGCGCTGGTGGGGCTGGCCACACAGTGGGATTTCTCTCTAATTGGAAGCCTGGTGCCCAGCAGAACCCGGTGAACTGCCTGAGTGGGACAGAGCCAGCGATGACAGCCAGGCCAAGGCAAGCTGGAACATTCCGGTGCAGTGACAGCTTGAGCCATCGCAGCAGAGGCAGGCCATCCAACTCCTGGTCCCCAGTGGAACAGGTGGCCGTGGAGCAGGTTTTGGGCAAACTTCAAAGAACTTCACAATTTTAGTTTCTCATTTATAATCACAGACAAGTGCTTATGTGTACATGATATGTTCTGGGGAATTCTTTTTTCTCTTTCTTTCCTTCCTTCCTCCCTGTCCTGTCTTTCTCACATACACTATGAGCAAACATGGAAAAAAGAAAATGAACTTGAGAAATCTTCCTCACTAAATTACCTACAAGGAATGATCCTGCCCTGCCTCTAGTCGGAGACAGTGACCTAACCTGTGAATGTGAACTGCTGACCGGCTTGATTTGGTGTGACATGCAAAGCACATAACTTTAACAGAGACCGTGAGAGGATGACAGCAGTCGGTTCTCGTACTGGTGAGAAGCTATTTTAAAAAATCCACCCATTATGTTTACTGTATTATTCTTCTCTCCTCTGCCGCTAATATTAAAAACATTAGCAATAGCCATGAGGTAAGGAAAGTCTGGCGTATAGGATTCCTCCAAAACAGCTCTGGAGGCAGGACAGTCAGCTCCAAAACCTGGCCCCACCATGTCCTAGCTGTGTGACTTTATCCCCCGGTGCCGCCTCGGTTTCTTACCCACAAAATGAAGATTATAATTACACCCACATCATATGGTTGTTTTAAGTATTAAATGCAATAGTCTTTATAATACACTAAGCACAGTATGCTCAATACATAATAAATATTCAACAACTATTCTCATTGCTGTAACAGATATTATAATATTGTGCATGTAGAGAAACTATATGGCTCCACCTTCGTCTTCTCATTTACTCCCAGCTGGTGATGACCATTTTCCGGAAGAGAATGCTGAGGCTAAGCGAGAGTAAGGAGCTTGCGGGAGGGAAACTGGGAATAACCAAGCCCAGCTTCCCACTCCAATGTGGCTGCAACGCCTGGGCTCTGCCATAACCCCCACACCAAGGCTTTCTTTTCATATGTGAAATGCCTTCGAAGATGCCTCCTCCTCTAGTGGAGGGGTGAGACGACTGCCTACAGTGCCGACATCTTTTACTTTGCCTGAGACTTCAAGTCCTCTGTTCTGGGGCATCTCTCTGGATTCCAATAACTATAAATAAGCTAAGTCCTCACCATACGCCCCGACAAGGCCAAACGGAGCAGAGGAAAAGAAGTGCACCCCCACCAGAGAGCCCAGAGACTCTATCCCCCACACACCCATGTCTTATCAAACCAGCCCCAAGGAGAAAGAGGTGGCTGGGCACCCCGAATAGCCCCGAAAAGGGTATGGTGAGGCAAGCGAGCTGTGACATCCCCAATGCCATGGGAGCAGATAACCTCGTCTCTCGTCTCAGTTCCCTGGTGGGCAGGGCCATTCTCACCCACAGCATCCAAGGCTCGCTGTCCCACATCTGACCACCTACCTAAAGGGCCCTCCCTTGTGTTGCGTGCTCGCTCCCTGCCTCTACGTTAGCTATTTCACGAGCTGTTCAAGTGCTTCTCTGCCCCCCTGTGGTACCGGGTTAGCCACGTTGTAGGGAAACTCCATTTGTCTGCTTGTTTATTCATTCATTTATTCATTCATTCATTCAAGGAATACTGACTGAGCATGCACTATGTGAAAAGTACTGTGCTAGGTGATGTCATTAACAGCTAACCAAACAGACACAGCCCTCGTCTCATGGAGCACCAGTCTGGTGGAGGATAATAAACACAAATAAATGCGCTGCTCATAAATCACAATACACACTAGGAAGGAAACTAACTGGATTCTATGCCACACAATAACAGGGAGACCTAATTGGTTTATTTTTCTAAAATAAAAGTAACATTATAGATGGTAATAAATTCAAACGCTACAGAAAAGTTTAAAATGAAAAATTTTTCTTCCTTCTGTGAGACCGTCATTGCCCTAGAGGTAATCATTGTTGACAATTTCTTGTATATATTTACTGAGAAGAATATATGCATACCAATACATGCATATACCAGAGCACACATCCTTTTACAAAATGTTTGCAAATGGGATCATGCTACATATATGTTGTTCTGCAACTTGATTTTATCTTTCCTTATCAATATATGGATGTATCTTATTCTTTTAAATGACCTTCTAGTATTCTATTGAACAGATGCTCCGTGATGCATTTAATCCAGTCCAGAGGGGATTTAATTTTGAGAGGTGGCGTGAGGAGTTAGGGAAGATCTTTCTGAATTAGGAATAGTGTGGCTGAAGCTGAAGAAGCAGGACTCGGCCAGGCAGGGGACAGCGTGTGCAAAGGCACCAGGAGGTGAGAGGTAACTTGCAACACTGGAAAAACTGAAGGCGGGACAGTGTGGTTAGCATGGGGCCCAGGAGAGAATGGCACGGGGTGAGGCAGAAGAGAGTGTCCGGTGCCCGGTGAGGAAGGATTTGCATCAACCAACCAGGAAACATGTACTAGGCACTCACTCTATGTAAGACCCCTCTGGAAGCACGTTAGGGGAAAAACAAGATGGACTAAGCATGGCAAAGTTGCGAAGGGAGACTGTATACATTACAAATAATAATGATTCAGAAGAATAAGGAAAATGCATATCCCTTCCTTGGTGAATCATCTCTGAATCCAATAGGTAGAAATAAGAGCTTCCTACTTAGTTCTTCCGTAATACTTTATTCATGGCCACAGGGTAGGCCTCACTACCTTCCAAGAGGGGAGAGTAAATGAAATTTGCCCCTAGTCTACCCCCTAGATGGTGAACTAGCTGACAGCAAAGACCACATCACAGGCACTTCTGCATTAGGACTGGCAAAATAAAGGACAACTGAACAGAACTGAATCAACAGATGCCTGTTTGATCTGAAAGTCATACCAATGGAAGAGCCATGTCAATCTTCTCTACAATTGTTCCAATTATAAGTGCTACTGAGTTGCCTCAGTAGTATTCATTTCACAAGAACAACCAAGAATAATCCTTGGATACTTCTTGGATTTGATTACATCACAGCAAAGGATTTGCCTCACTTGAGAGCTGCAAGTTCCGCTGGGAAAGGCCTGTGCATATACAAGAATCAATGGATGAGTGGAGACAAAG